AGTTATTATAATATACCTATGCTTTGCAAAAAATAAAGAATTCAAGAAAACAGTATAAGATGTATGTGTATAAGTGTATTCATGTGTTGTATTGTCACTATTATATCAAAAATCAATCAAATGGAAAAAAAAATAGGGAATGTTGCTCCCTTAAGAGGACAATCTTCTTAGCTTACACATTCTAATTTAATAGAAAGTGATTTTTTTTTTTTAATACAATATCTAATATTATATCTCAAAATCAAGAGTCTACAAGTATACGCCATAGCCCCAAAAGTGGACTATGGCCCAAAAAAGTCTTTGGCCTTTTCGGCCATAACAAAGCAACAAAACGAACTCAATATATACAAGAGGTGGCCCGAAAGTGACCACCCCTAACTAGAAGCTCCCAGCTCATTAAATGAGCAAATATGCAATCTAAGGCTAACAAGCTCATGACTAAAAGGGATTTAAAGGTAGAATCTAGCCTTAAAGCCCCAATCCTCTCCAAATCAACCACAATCATAGTCAAAATAGGCTCCCTGTCCCACACAAGTGATGGGAACGATGCCTAAGCTCATGGATCCCATCTATCCTAATCTACCCCTACTACCCTCAAGTCAAAGTCCCATCCCCTCCGGCACGGCGTACCGTGTTTTAACCCGGGGGGACTTTACGGGTCCCGGCTTGAGCGATAGTACTCACCTCCGCCCACCCTCGTGCCCAAGACCAACTCCCCTCGGCATAGCGTACTATGTTTTGCCCGGGGGAGCTTTTGAGGTCCCGACAGGAGCGGTGGCTCCCTCCCCGACCATCCTTAGGCCAAAGGCCGACTCCCACGGCACGGCGTACCGTGTTTTAACCCCGGGGAGCCTTTATGGCCCCGACCTAAGCGGTGGTTATCCTCCAACTCAAACCCTTCTCTCAACCCGTTCTTCTTTTGCATCTCTTTTTCTTAACAACTTCTTCATCAATTTTCCTTTTTTCAAAATATTTCCTTATCTCCCTTATTCCTCCCTCCTCCTCTTATTGTTATTTTTAACTCTCTTCTTTTTTTCCATTTCCTCATTTTCTCCCTATGGATCCAAAGGAGCTAAAGACACTCCCAACTCCGAGTGTGTGCTATACTTGGAGCCTACAAAGACCCCACCATTCTTGGCACAAACTCGAATGGGCCCCTAAGGCTAGAAGCTACCCTAAGAATCCCTTCTAGTGTAAGCTTATTTGCCATAGGATGCAAGCATGCACATGCTAGAGCCGGGAGTTCTTTAAACTTGATCAACCAAAGTCTTCATCTCCAAGCTTCCTTGTACCTGCAAAACCATATAAGTGGCTTCATCTCCACTCAAATGTGGATCCACCAAACAAAATCTGCACAGTATAACTGTCAGTACCCTCAACAAGCTGATGCCCTCAGAAACTGCCCAGCTAGCAGTCCATCATTGGGCCAAAGGGAGCATAAATCTCAGCTAGCTAGCCTCACAGATTCATGTTCCCTAAACAATCCTTCTAAAGAGCTTCCTCTCAGCTTGGTAGAGCAGAACTGGCCTTAGCTTGGTGAATCCCCAACTTCACTGACCAATTCCCCCAACATCACTGGCTCTTTTTACTTGGGGCCTGCTTTGCTCTCAAAGTTATCCAACTCATCATTGAGCAATGCAGATCAGAAGCAGGAACCAAGTCCCTCATATATCTACAAGTTCTTTAGGTTAAGCAGAGATGGCCTCAGCTTACAGCCTCATCTACCATTTCCCCCACCCTAAAGAACATATCAGCTTTCAGATTCATGCTTGATAAGCTGGGGAGTCTAGGCAGAACTGGCCTCATCCTTACAGACTCATAAACCAGTTCCCCCAAATCCCCTAAGTGCCTTCACTTATTCCTACCAATGTTAGGCCTAATGCAGGCAGAATCAGCCTCAGCTTATTGGCTTCATAGGCCAATTCCCCCATCTAAGCAATCAATCCATCATTGGCTAGCTGAGCAGAACACCCCTCAGTTGTAACACAACTTCATTAGGGTGTTCACTCAGTCAGACAGAATGTTCAGATATCAAAGTGAGATCGTCCTTCCTTATATCACCCTCCACCCTTCATATTTTATTTTCAGAAGCAACAATCCTCCCCTTCCTTATTGCATCCTCTCTCCCTCAGATTTTTCAAAAGCCAGGCAACCTGCCCAACTTTGGGCTGATTACTTGGACTTTCCTGACCACATAGCTAAGCCAACAAGAGATAGAACATCCTTCATCTACAACAGATTCCTTAGGATGTTCATTCTTGCAGCTTTTGGTTCTAGCTTTTCCTAACTATCACTCAAACCCTTAGCAAAGCCTCATAACATGCCATGCCTGGCATGAATCATCAGCTTGGCTAACTCACCAACCAGGGTCCCGGCCATACTCTTGATCCCAACCAGGTCCAGCTCTGCATCATCTAATCCTGTCCACACCAGGGAGGAACACAAAGTGGGGGACCCCTTCCAAAGCTAGAATCATTTCTAAGCCCCTTGGGAGACCTTCCACCTTGCTAAAAATTATATCCAGGCCAAAGCATCTGTTAGCTAAAAATAGAAAGTGATTTAGTGAACAAATATGGTAGATAGTTACTAGAATGAACATTTTATATAAACTCATTATTCATTCAGAGCTTATGAAGCTGGTAGTTTAATTGTCTTTATATGAGAATGGGACATTGGGAGTAATTCATATTTGCATAACCAATTTGTGACATAACCCAATGAAATTAAACAAATAACTAGTATTCAAGTACCTCATCAAAATTGTATCTTAGTTTCTCCCATAAATGCCAAAATCATTTGTATCACGAAGATATCGGAAGATATGTTAAACATTATTATAATGTTCCATTGCAGGAGAAGCACTAGAATACAATATCAAGTCTAATGCGATTATATTGTCCTAAAGTAGTGCTCTAGTGCCAATGAAAAGTAATAAACTTTTGGTCCTAAAACATCCACCCTATATCATCTTTTGATCTAAATGGATTTTGATCTACTTCAAAATATTGGGCAACCATTAGTGTGCTAAGTAAATAATACTTTTCTATATAAAATATTTCTAAAATATCTTTTAAGATAGGCTAACCAGTGTATATAACTTATCCAGAGATACTCTATTTGCAAGTCGAAACAATACTTGGTTTTCAAATTAAAGACCTTCATTTCAAAACTTCATCTTTAGACATGAGTTAATGTTATCAAGTTTTTATGTGTATCAATACTATTTATACATCAACACAAAACTGAGAATCAAAAAACACCATTTTGCAATTCTTTAAGGAACACACAATGACACATATTATTAACTATAACTACATATCCCTTCTTCTTGGGAGAAAATACTTATTAAATATTGACTACTTCATGATAAATAAAGACCATTGTAATTTAATACTGAGTAAATTTCACAGAAGGTCCTTTGAGTTTGAGGCACTAGTGCACTACCAACTTTGGTCTTTAACTTACAAGTCTACCACAATAAGTCTTCCAACTTCTCTAAGGGTCCGTTTGGAAACCCGAAAAATGACTTCTGGAAAATGTTTTCCGAGTTTTCAGTGTTTGGATGCAACATGAAAATCAAGTCAACGGAAAATATTATCTGTTAACTAGGGAAAATGAAGTCATTTTGGCAAAAAAATGACTTCAGCCAAAATTTGGGGGAAGTCATTTTTCGCCAAAATGTTTAAACATACAATTCTACTCATTTTTTCAGAAAATAAACTAACCAAGTTTTCCCACATGCAATCAAACATTGAAAATGACAATGTTTCTGAAAAAATGATTCATTTTTCAGAAGTCACTTTCCTGCTTTCCAAACGGACGCTAAAGCTACTATTAATAGTCCTCCTTAACTAAAGGTCATCTGAACTATATATATAAGTCATTTATAATTTAAAAATAAGTTATAAGCTCTATAAAAAATTAAAAATCATTGTAAATTAAATTCAAAGTTTATGAAAAATAAATAATAATTCAATTATGGTTTTTATGCCTTTTGTCTAATTTTACATGTCATGTTTCTTATTCATTAGTCAAATGAACTCTTATTTATTTATTTATTTACTATTATTATTATTTTAATTTTGTTGTGTTTAATAGTATTTTTAATTTAATTTCTAAATATATAAATTTTATTAATAACACTAAATTTAATATAATGAAAAATTAGATTATAAATAATTTCAGTTAAAACTCATTAATTGAAATATTGAATCAGTACATCAAATAAAGAAAAAATTACACTTTTTGTCCATAAGTTAGAGAGTACTTGTAGAATTTGTTATTAATTGTTGGTCTTGTTTACTTGTTCTTCCTAAGCTATCATTAGCGTTGTACTTTTCATCCTTTACTAACAAAACATTAGAGACGAGAAGTTAGCTTAAGTACGAAAAGTGAGCACGAGAAATTAATTAAAGGGCGAAACGTGCAACACTAATGACGGTAAATATGTTACCGAATAATATTATTTTGTGTAACGGATGTAACAATAGTTGTATTGCCTTAGTGTCTCAGTATAGAAAATACAGTGTCTCTTTTGTTAGCTGAGGAGAGCCCCATTTATACTAAAGTCCTAACGGTAACAACATGGGACATAAATGGGGAGCCTAAGCCTTTAATTCACTCTCATCAATGGTGGCTTTAATGGTGACTTCAATGGCAGTAAAGGTGGCACCTGTTGGAATTCTGTCAATTGGAGTTTCCATGTGGTGCCGGGTCAGATGCCCACTTATGATCCAAGTCGGGTGTCAGCCTTATTATCTTGTCACCTAATAATAACTAAGGGGTGAAAAGCGAACAAGATCAACAATTAGGGACAAATTTTACAATTACTTTATAACTTGAAAACGAAAAATGTAATTTTTCATAAAATAAAATAACTCGAATGAGGTAACTTTCAATAAAAATAAAAGTTATACAAGTTTTGGAGAAGTGCAAATGAATAGTATTGGACTATTGGTACATGAGTACATCTTCCATTTCCCGCGAATGCCCAAAGGGTTTCGTTTCTTTGTATTATGCACTTTTGAATACGGAGTATTATTTTATCCTAATTAAAAAGGTGGAGCCAAATTTTGGTGCCCCAGCCTGACACTGTTTCGGAAGAGAGGGAGCGGGAGAGAGAGACTGTGAAGATCAGAGGACACTTGGTAGAGAAAGAGATGCCGGTAGCGCGACCTGAATCATCGGACTCTCGAGTCATCGCCCACGTCGACATGGACTGCTTCTATGTTCAAGGTTTTTCCTTATTCTTCTTTCTCAATTCAGTAGTTTGCCACATTTCCAGCTTTAACATGAATGCTATATGCTCACATTAAAGTTATGATTACAGTACATTTATCTTAACATAGTTAATTACCTAGTCTGTTGTTTTCTCTTCTTTCAAATGTGTAGTGTTCATTTTTAATTTTTTTTCCAGTATCTCCAGTCAAATTAGGGTTAAGTTGAATCAAAAGAGGAAGATATATATATATATATATATATATATATATATATATATATATATGCGTGTGTATTGATGTTAATGAATGTCTATATAAGCATGAAGAATGTGTGTGTGTGTGTGTTTTTTTTTTCATGAATTCTGATCATGATCATAATGCTGCAGTATCTAACTGGTTTTTTTCATGTATAGTGGAGCAACGTAAACAACCAAGTCTAAGGGGTCAACCGACTGCTGTAGTGCAATACAACTCTTGGCAAGGAGGGGGCCTGATAGCGGTCAGTTACGAGGCCCGCAAATTTGGTGTTAAGCGGTAATGGATTAGCTTTCTAATTTTATGAGAAAATTTTCTTAAAAACTTGATTGATGGCAAGTTTTTATCAGTGAATCTGGTTTACCATTTTGTAGTTCAATGCGCGGGGATGAGGCCAAGCAAGTCTGTCCTGAAATTCAGCTTGTTCAAGTCCCAGTTGCTCGTGGTAAAGCTGACCTGAATACATACCGAAATGCAGGCTCAGAGGTTAAGAAAACTTTCAAGCATCTCTCTGTTTAAGCTTGTAGTATGTTGTGAATGTGTGTTTATGGCATTCTCACAGGTGGTATCCATTCTTGCACGGAAAGGTATATGTGAACGTGCTTCAATTGATGAAGTCTATCTGGACCTCACTGAAGCTGCAGAGAAAATGTTGAAAGAGACCCCACCCGAGAAATTGGAAACAATCAATGAAGAAGCGGCTAAATCACATGTTTTAGGGATTGATAAGGTGGGTAGTGATAGTGATAATAACTATTATCTAGCAGTTCAATTTTCTTGTTCTGAAGCTTCAATTCCATGTACTAAATCAAAACAGCTTTGTTTAAATAAAACATCATTTCAAAGATATGCACCTGCTGAAAGATGGTAACCTGCAATGTCAGTACTCAAGAAGTAAGAACTCAAATTCCTTCATTGGTAAAAGCAACTTTGGTGAAACAGTGTTTCAAAGAATTTTATTTTATTATTATTATTTTTTAATCCATGCTAATGTTCCATTGGTCCTTGTATCATTCCTGATATTGGTTTCTATTGCAGGATGAAAATGAGAGCATCAAGAACTGGCTTTGTAGAAATGATGCAGATTACCGTGATAAGTTGTTAGCCTGTGGGGCCCTTATTGTTGCAGAACTAAGGCTGCAAGTATTAAACGGGACTGAATTCACATGTTCAGCAGGCATTGCTCATAATAAGGTGGAAATAGTGTTCCATCCACAAGAAACATGCAAAACTTTAGAAGTTTATTGTATGTATTTTATTTTTATTTTTCACGATGTCTAGAGTTTTATCATCCTAAATACAATGCTACTTGCAGATGTTGGCCAAACTAGCAAGTGGGATGAACAAACCTGCACAGCAAACTGTGGTGCCCTCATCATCTGTCATGAAATTTCTTGAACCATTGCCTATAAAGAAGATGTAAGGATTTCCTTTATTTGACTTGGTCAAGAATCCTTCAAGTTTTGTTCAGCATGCTATTTGATTTTTTTTTTTTTCCTGAGTTTCAGTTCTATCTGAAATCTGAATTATGTTGTTCTTGTGGTTAAGATTTTTCCCTTTATATTGATCTTTAGATTTTAATAGTAGGGCTCTTTTTGAGTGGTACTTTATTGCTGACTTGTTTATATTTGCATGACACTATTGCTTGTATTTTCTCCTAATTTGTGTGGTTTGTGTCATGCTTTGAGTTGAAATGTATTGCAGGAAACAACTTGGGGGAAAGCTTGGAACTTCATTGCAGAATCACCTGGGTGTGAACACTGTTGGAGACCTATTGCACTTTTCAGAGGAGAAGTTACAGGAACATTTTGGGATAAATACTGGGTCATAATATATTGCTTTTAGATTAAATGTTTTATGTTTTATTTTACAGAGATGATGACATCTTAAGCAAATGCTTCCAAGTTTTTCCCAATTATTGTGCTCATTGTCTTGAAAAATATTGCTCATTCTTTTAGATAATGAGCGACTGAGCGTAATTTGTCTAATTGAGGTTTTCTACGTGTTTCCCAAAAACCAGCCAAAAGAGAAGGGAAAACATTAAAAAACGATTTCTTATACTGTGTAATATGTATTCTAGCTTTTTGTATGCATGCGTGTCTTGAGCTGAAGGTTTTGCTCTAGCCAATGACTTGGGGCAATTTCACTGATGAAACATTCTGGGGTACTTTGCTACAGGAGAAAACCTCAGGGATAATTACTGCATGAATTGTAAAATTCAATGATGGAAATACAATTTAGAGTTTGTTTTACTTGCAACCATGTTCTCAGTTGCAGAATTGTCCTCACTTTTACCTTATTTTTTCCCCTGTATTCCTTGCAGTACCTGGTTATGGAATACTGCCAGAGGGATGAATGGAGAAGAAGTTCAGGGCCGCCTTCTCCCCATGAGTCATGGCTCTGGAAAGACATTTCCTGGACCCCGAGCTCTTAGAACAATTGCTTCTGTAAAGACATGTTCTCTCAAATACTATCCTTTTAATTATCTTAATTTTATTCTTGTTACTATTCTTTATTATTTATTCAAGGGAGGTCTTATGCAGTTATGTTGGAATGCTATCTTATGGTCATACTTATTTTACATAAAGGTTTTGTTACTTTGTCATAATTTTATTTGCTTCTGTCCCAAAACTGTGGTCTAGTTTTGCTTCACTAGGGTCAACACAATCTAATTTTAACCAACTTTTAATGGCATGATATTTAAAATTTTATGTTGTGATTATCAAGGTAGGTTGTACTTATTGTGTAGTTTATTGATATTCAATTTTTAGCTTCAAGCTTAAACTTGAAAGTATGAAAATCTATGTCGAAGTTTAGTCAAATTAACCAAGAAAACAGTAAATAGGACAATCAGTGTGGGTCTGTGGGACGATGGGAGTTCTAGTTATTGGTCCACTTTTAAATTTTTTTGGTCACTTTGAGTCTTTGACACTTCTATTTATTTATAGGTTGAGAAATGGCTTAGGGAGCTTTGTGATGAACTTAATGAACGCCTTCAGTCTGACTTGGAACAGAATAAGCGCATTGCAAGAACACTGACTCTACATGCTAGTGCATACAAGGTTACTTGTTCAAATATTTCCTTGAGTACTATACTGTTTGTCATTTAATTTATTTAAGTCTGTTGTATTATTATTTATGTGATTACATGATAATATAGTCCGTTATATTTGCTATTTTCTAGACAAATGACACAGATTCATTCAAGAAATTTCCTTCTAAATCATGTCCGTTAAGATATGGGACTGCCAAGATCCAAGAAGATGCCTTAATCCTTTTTCAAGTAGGACTCCGTGAATTTCTTGGTTATTACAATGTTAATACACCAACAAAGCAACAAGATGGTTGGGGAGTGACAGGTCTTTCGATATCAGCAAGTAAAATAGTTTCTATACCCTCAGTGAGTTCAACCCTCCTTGTATCTTCACAGTGGCCTTTTTCATTCTATAATAATTGTCAGAGGTTGCTCACTTAAAATTTTTTGGCAATATGAAACAATATAAACTGATTTAAATCATCTATGGAATTAGTAGAACTTAATAATCTATGCTACCTTAATAGTGATGCCTGATTTTTGCCAATCTGTTGTCTATGTTATGTAGAAATGACATTTCCACCTAGTAGAATAAAAACGTCTAATGAAATTATTTGATGACTCAAAATACCCCAATATATTACTAGTACATCTGGTCAATTAAACTCAAAATTTTACCTTCGGTACCTTTATATGTATGTCTGCCATAAAATTTCAGTCTTCTAAAATGTTTTTCTTCGTTAAATGCTTTTGGCAGGGAACACGTTCAATCATGAATTATTTTCAGAACCAATACGAAACATGCTCTTCTGTTAAGCAATTAAGTCAAAGATCTATCGAAGATGCAAAGCCATTGCCACCCTTAGGTTCTCACTGCTTCCACACCTAGCTACCTCTTTTCTTCCTATGTTTGTTTTCTTTGCACATTTTCTTAGTGCTATTGAACCTCTCTCTCACAATTAACAAAAGGAATAGTTATCTAGGAAGTGGAAACCATTCAACACTGCACTCCTTGGAGCCCGAGGTTGATTGCATTCATGAAAGTAAAGGGTCCGAATATGCAATTCCAACTTTGGAAATACATGAAGAAGATGGAGAACCATGTACAGTCGAGGTTTGACACTGTTCTATTTATTTAGTTAAATTTCCACAAGATAAGTGCTATCAACTATGACAAAAATATCTTCATTAACAAAGGGCTTTAAATTTTAAAAGAAAAAGAGAAGATTCTTTGATGCACATTGGCATACAGATATAGGTGTATATAGAATGAAACAGAGCACCAACAAACTATATTACCCCAAACACAAACTTTTTGGCGCCCTATTATCTGTTTCTTTCTTGTTTTCAGTTTCTTTTATATGGATATGCGTGAGCGTGCACACACATTACACATATACATATACATATGTACACAAACACACACATATGTATGTTTTTTTTTTTTTTTTTAATTTTTAAAATGCTACTGTTCAGCACTAGAGAACATTTATGACTCTTAGAACTTAAGCAGGGGTTTCTCTCCACATCCTGTCATCAAGAAGATGGATTCAGTGAAGAAACTGTAGCATTGTCGTTTTCAGGTAATTCTATGCAATGTTTGCTGTATATATTGTTGTATTTTCATGTTCTTGCCCTAAATAATTATGATTTATAATCAACACTACTCTTTTAGGGGCCGAAACTTGTTCAAGATTGGAGCCAAATCAAGTTGATCCAATGGTTGACCCTGCAGATGAAGAAACAACGAACAGTTTGAAATCAAAAGAACAGAAAAGAAAGCCTTCCAAAAATAAGGTTACTCTGTCTCATTTTACTTATCTTGTTTACTATTCATTGGCTAAATCAATTTTTTTTTTTTTTTTTGTTTTTTTTTTTTTGTTTTTGTTTTTGTTTTTGTTTTTGTTTTTGTTTTTTTTTTGTTTATGTTTTAAAAAAATAAAAATATTATAAATTATAAATTTTTTTTATTTTTTATTTTTTATTTATTTATTTATAGTATTTTTGATGTAATTCTTAAATATATAAATTATATGCACTATCACTATACTAAATGTTACAAAAATTGAATTGTAAATAACTCAAGTTAAGTCTCATTAATTGAATCTGACACATAAAATCAGACATGAGTAATAGACTTCCTGTTAGCATTCATCTCTACATTCTTTTCTTTTCTCGTTGTGAATGTCTTTCACTAGCTTTTAGTTACTGCCTGCCAGTATTTGAGAGTTAAAGATATGATTTTAATCATTACATCGAGCATCCTCATCAGCTTTGGTTTTTTGGTGGATTTTGTTATAGCCATGTAGGAGAGAGAAGGTAGAGGGAAGAGGAAGAAAAGGAAAAAAACAAAAAAAAAAACAATAAACAATAAAGAACCCAGTCTGTTCACGAGCCCAGCTGGGCACCTGCGTCTCCAACACGCAAAGAATTTCATTATGCTTTGTTTTCATTTCTCAATCAGTGGACCCCACAAAAGTTTTGCACTTGGAGAAAAATACACCAAAAAACGCTATCTCCCATTTGTGCAAAAATTACACACTCGGTTTTTAGTATTCCAAAAACCCCAAAAAATGCATTGGTGTAGATGCTCTTATGCCATGAAAGGTTATCTGAATTTTAAAATGGAACTGGCAAAATTGTTTTCCTTACGAAAACTAAATAGCTGTATGTGAATATAATTACTGTGTTATGTACAAGGATTACTTATTCTACATTTCCTTCAAAAATGTACTACATAATGCAATTGATTCAAATATTGTTTTTCTCTTAGAGTTGAACATAAGAAATTTATGAGTTTAAAATGACTGTGTTTGACTTGTTGCTTATTTTTCCTGATGATGCATCAGGGAACATCCATCTTAGGATACTTCCAAAGTCGAGACTCATTTTCAAAGGTGACTCGTGGAAGCCCTTGCAAAGAAAGTGAAGCGTCACCCCCAGGTAATAATCAGCCTGACCAATCACAAAAAGCCTCTCCACCTCCAAATTAGCAGTGGAGAAAATTCCCTTGTGTTTTTGTCACCTGCTTATTTTCTGTTTGTTAAGAGTCCCACGTTGATAAAATAAAGAGAGAATATAAGAGTTTATAAGGCCATGGGTTAGACTAGCTAATTAGTTGGATTCAACCTTTTAGTGTTGTTTGGCCCATGTGCATTATAACCCAATTGACTGACCCTAGCCCAATCTTAGTTTATAACACTTTCTTTTCCTTGTCATCTTGCTCATCTAAACCTTTGAGAGGTGTGAACAAACTAAGTGAACCTCTCCAACTAAAGCAGGTACCAGTATGGATCCAACTGGTCAAAATGATCAGAGGAGGCATGCAGGGAGTTATTATTACAATATAAATGAGATAGACCCAGCTGTCGTGAATGAGTTGCCACAGGAAATTCAAGATGAGGTGCGAGCCTGGCTCAGGCCCAGAAAACAAGCAAATACTACAAAAAAAGGTTCAGATATTACTAGCTATTTCTCCCGTGCTAAGGATGCATAGCTGACACCTAGAACGGATTGCATCTTTTTAAATGTCTAAAGTTTTACTAAACCTTTCAAGATTGAAATCTGGAAACCTTTTAGTAGGTTCAGTCCAGAGGTATCAGGTACTAATGTTCTTTGGAGCGAAGTCATCATTGACAGCTTGAAGCCTTGAAGCATGAAACGCTTGCTAGGTGGGAGTCTGGAGAAGGGTCTGCAAGTCTATAGGACAAAAGCTTAATTTCTTTTCTTTTATTATTATATATATCAAGTTTATAGCATGTATATTTGTGCGTTATTCATGCTTATATATTGTGAATTTAGTGATGGGCTTATAAGGCTAGGATTAGACTCAAGCTTGGAAAGTTAAATCTTGGACTCCTGTTTTAAGTTGTTCTAAGCTTTCCATGGCGAATGTTTCAGTGTAAATAATGAATTATTATTTATTATTCTAGTGCTTATAATTCCTTGGTTTTGAAGTATTTCCTTTTTATTATCGTCCAACATGCCTAAGTGACAAGTTAGTTGAAAGTTATAGTAAAAATTAATTAAAATAATATATGTAAAAGACAAAGTGATGGTACAATCTTTTTCTAAACTAAACTTTAACATTCACATTCTTATGTGACACTATTTAATTAATTTTTCTTTTTTTGTGTATTTGATTATTAAGGTTAAAAAAAAAATAATTTAATGAGGTAAGTTAATTCATGAGCAATTAGTAAATATAAATAGTTTCATTGTAAGATTGGAAAGCAAGTTTTAAGAGGGAAAGTAACATATTTCAAATAGGAGTATTTTGTATTTGTTAATTTTATTTTTAGCAGTAAAGAAGAATGGACAACCCATTAATAAATTGTTATATTTTAACTTTATAAAAATTGTTTTTTTTAGACAATTGATATACATATAATCTAACATGAACGAAATAAAAATTTAATTACGAGAAACATATCTTCTTAATTGTGTTGTTTATTGAATGGGAGAATTATAGGGAAAAGATTAAACATTTTGTTCATACTTGACTTGAAACTTTAGATGTCGTATTTTAGATTATTCATGAGTAGTATGAGTGTCATAAATTGTATATGCTATGCTCAACAACCTCCGACCCACTCAGCAAACCCGGTTTGAGTTCAAACTGCGGAGACAAGTGTTGTTGCTACGCTCCACCACACTCTCGCACATGTCATCTTTCAGTAACATATGAGACATACACAATAAATTTATATCTTCACAAATATGCCCCTTAGGAAATAAGTCTAAAGTCTCTAGCACACATGTGGGTTGGGGTAACCATGTTCATCTAGCAATTACAAATACCCAACAAATTCAAACAATGATTGAACTTTTCAGTAGTTATTATTTTCGTCAACATGTCAACTGCATCACTAGTATGAACTTTCAATAGCAATAACTTTCCAAAATCAACTAACTCTCTGATCTTGTGGAACCTCACATCAATATGCTTAGTCTGAGCATGTTAGACTTGGTTCTTTGCTAAACAAATAACAGTCTAACTATCATAAAGTAGTTGACTCCATGTTGCTCAATCTCAATTCCTTAACTTGAAACCCATGCCATAAGGCTTCTTTATCAGCTTTAGTCACAATCATGTACTGACATATCTAGTTGTGGACATTTTGTTATCCAAATCGTCAACATTGTCTGAATCTACATTACCCTATAACCAAAGGCTCATTCTACTGATTGCCAAATACAACACCATGCTTCATAGAACTCCTAAAATAACAAAGAATTCACTTGATTGCATCCCAATCTTGCCTCCTTGCTGACTTGACTAACAACATGAGCCAAATCAGACGATAGCATACGTCGAACAACCTATTGCATTGACATAGGGAACCTTGGTCATATCTTCAATAGTTTTACTAACTGTCTCCAAACACTAATATGATGAAAGCTTAAAGTGTTTTGCCAATGGAGATCTCACTTACTTAGACTTGCTCATTCCAAATCTGTCTAAGACTTTCTCAACATAACTCTGTTGAGTAAGCCACAACTTTCTAGAACCTCTATCCTTGTGAATCTCCAATCCCAAGAATTTTCTTTGTAGCACCTAAATCTTTCATGTTAAATTCTTAACTCAAAAAAGCTTTCAACACATTGATATCATTCATACTCTTAGCATCTATCAACATCTCATCTACAAACAGTAACAAAAAAAAACAAAAAAAAAAAAAAAAAAAAGAGAGAAGAGCCATTACCATACAACGATCTCTTAAGTTTGCAAACTAGATGCTTCCAGAGTTCCAGTTGCTTCATATAAATATTCTCATCTAGATCACTATGCAAAGAAAAAAAAAAAAAAAAAAAAAAAAAAAAAAAAAAAAAAAAAAAAACGATCTTTACATTTATTTGTTCCAAGTGCAAATCCGAAGTAGCCATCGGAGCAAGTATTACCCTGGTTGAAGAATGTTTAACCATAGGAGAAAAAGCTTCGTCATAATCTATCCCATGTTGCTGTGAAAATCCATTCGCAACTAATCAAGCCTTAAACCTTTCCCTTTGTTTTCTTGAAACTAGTGGTTTCTTCCTGTAGACTCCCTTGCATCCAATAGCATTCTTGCCATTAGGGAGTTGGACTAGCTCCCATGATTTTGGTTCAAAGACTCAATCACCTCAACCATACCTGCCATTCATTTATCTTTCTCCTAGCTAGAAATACTCTCTTGAAAGGTAACTAGATCATTATTGCTAACAAGAAGTGCAAAAGATATACATGCTAGGAGGCTTAACATTGGCTTGCCTCGGTTTGTCTTAGGCTAAATTGTAATCTTGTAAGTTTACTCCGTTAAAACTTGTAGACATGGACTCTGAAACTTCAAGCCTCTCAAACATAGAGGAAATCTCTACCTTCTTAGATCTAGGTGGATTCTCTACTTTCTTAGTTAATTGAATCTGGTCTATATCAACCCTACTACAACTAGCCTAGAACTATCAACAGACGCATCCTTTTGTTTTTGTTGCAACATGTATTTCTCATCAAACACTACACCCCTGTTAATCACCCCTTTTTTTGGTCCAGGATCCCGGAACTTGTAACTTTTTACACCTTTCTTGTAACCTAGAAAGATTCACTTCTTGGACTTTGGATCAAGTTTTGATCTATCATCACCTAGTATATGCACATAAGCAACAAAATTTCTAAAACTCAGTTTCTGTGTACTTGGTACCATTGTCAGATCTCAAATACTTGATTTTTCTACTAGTTTGAGTTTCCACCTTAGCTTTCCACAACTTGAACTTAACAAAGACTTTAGATTTCTGTTTCAAGAAATACACCCAAACTTTTCTAGAAAAATAGTTCGTAAAAAAACGTAATGGAGATCCACCCATAGGTACCTCCCTAGTAGGTCCCCGTGCATCAGAATGCACATAATTAATAATTTTCTCAATTCTATGCTTCCTAGTAGAGAAACTAACTCTAGTTTGTTTTCCAAGCACACAAAACTTACAGAAATCTAACTTGCAGTACTTAACACATTTTAACATATTCCTCTTATGCAATTCATATATATTGAGTTCACTAAGATGCCCAATACACAAATGCCACAACTTGGTACTATCACAATCAAACTCAACAAAATGAATTTCACCTATAACTGTGTTCCCTAGCAATTTATAAATATTCCATGTTATTCTCTTGCGTTTCATTATAGTCAACACACCCTTACAAATTTTAATAGTTTCTATATTATTTTTAGCTTTATGAATAAAACCATTTTCATCAAAAGTGTCAAGAGAAATCAGATTCTTTGTTAGCCTAAGTATATTTCTAAAATCACATAAAGTCCTAAACACACCATCATATATTCTAATTCTGATTTCACCAGCACCAACAATATTATGACACCTATTATCACCCAGAAAAACAAAACCAAATTTTCCTGACATGTATGTGGTATACCAATCCTTGTCAATGAACAAAACCTCCCTCTATCATGTGTAAGTATTGAGCCCCATGTCATGTGTACTGTTTTGTTAACTGTGCAGTGCACTATGAGTTTCTGCAGTTATCTTTGTGTAATTAGCCTTTCAGGAAAGGCGCAATTTCAATAGGACGCCCCTGAGCTCAGATTTTTAATTTGTCAGTGCATGCATCACTAATCTATGGAAATAGTAAAACGCGGGTATCTATCAAATGAACTGTATAAAGAAAAGCATTGAAAAGGAAAATAGTAACATTTAAGAATTATACTTTTTTTTTATGAAGTATTTAATTATACTAAAAAATTATACTCCTTACTTTTATTCATTATTCACTCATAGCAAGGGTTTTCAATAAATGGAAGGTGGAGTTATTTGATAGTTTTGATTATTACAAATGAAAATTTGTGGGGTCTATTATTAAATGTTTAACAACTGCGGCATGTGTGCGTCATGTACACGTGCCTCGACACAACATGCACCAGCTGGATGTGTGAATAAGCTTAGTTTTACTTTTTTTTTTTTTTTTGTCAGAATTTTTTCCTTTTTTTTTCTTTCATTTTTTTTTAAATCTCCTCTCTTCATTCTCTTTCTTATTTGGCATTCCAAAAATTACTAAAAAACGAGTTTTACTACATAAACTCATAATCTCTACTCCCTAATGTGGCAAGAGTTAATAAGATATCTTCATCCTGTGAATTTTAAAGAAAATGTCAACATCATAGTGTTGAGTGAGGGAGTAAAAGTATGGAGTAGAACTTGGGAGTCTAAGTACTAGTTTCCCTAAAAAATCAACACTATTAAAGATGCTATCAAAATTTTGATGTTGACGTTTACTTTGAGGCCCATGATGAAAATAACTTATCATCTTTTACCACATCAGAGAGTAAAAGTAGTGAGATAGGGATGTTAAGACTAAATATTACTCTCTATTTCATTGTATATGTTGGATTCAATTAACCATCCTTGATTCAAATTATTTATAATTCAATTTTTTGTAATATATAATTTATTGTTTGTGTGTGTGTATATGTGTGTGTGTACACACACACACACACATATATATATATATATATATATATATATATATATATATATATATATATATATATATATATATATATTATAGAAATTACGAAAACGTTTGGTTGGAGACTATTATACTCTATTATTAGGTTTGATATTCATTATCTGTTTGTCTACATATTTTTGCAATCTTATTATTGGTTTCAAATCTTTAGTAATTATAAAGCTCATTACCTTTCTCATTCCTATTTTTTAACAATGGAATACAAAATAAGGAATTTTTTTTAAATGTGATTGTCCATGCAATCAATATGTATGTATGTATGTATATTATTTATTTATTTGTGAGAGATATAACCATTTTAGTTTATTAATTAATTGTACGTATATTGTAGACTCAGCTTATAAATTATTTGTATATACAAAATTTTTCTTTAATTATGTATAAAGTGGCAGTTTTAATCCATCGCTAATAGATTCTATTAAAATTAACCGTGG